CTCAAAAATAAATAAAACACAAAAAAATATATACACTGATGTATTTAGAGGTTTAAAAAATGATATATACAACTTACTCTCAAATGGCTCTGAAAAAAAGATCTCCCTCCCTCTCTCTCTCTATGTGTGTGTGTATACATATATATATATATATAATATGTATTAATTTGTTTTATATAAACATATCTCTCTATAGAGAGCACAGAAGATAAAGCAAATAATGTAATTTGGTTAAGAAGTCAGCAAATCATATAGGTGTTCTTTGTATGATTTATTCTTACAACTTTTAAGTTTGAAACTTACAAATCTGAAATAGAAGGCTGAGAGAACAGTTTTAAAAGTCACGTCAGTTTTCCATGATGACACTACTACTTCCTATTCTCAACTGGGAGGCAGTTTGGTATTAGAGCTAAAAATACAGCTTTGTGGTATCAAAATATTTATATTTGAATCTCAGCATTCCCACTCACCTGCTATGTGATGTCTGGTAAGCTACTTTATCACTCTATGCCTCAGTTTCCTCATCTGTGAAATGGGCATGCTGATAAGAGCATCTGCTTTGTGGGCTATTTGTGAGAAACAAATGAGATCTACATAGAAGTGCTGGGTGAGGCACCATGCTCAGAATCAGCTCTCAGGAAGTGGGCTTTTATGATGTTTTCCAGGAAAGCATTCTACATGTAAGAGAGAAGACATAGTAAGAGCTGAGTTTAATGCCAAAGGAGAAGGACAGGGATAGGGACAGAAGAGAGCCAGGGAGAGGGAAAGGGAGAAGGAGAAGAAAGAGATGAAGGATGGGGTGCCAGGTGGTCGGTCGGTTAAGCGACCGGCTTTGGCTCAGGACGTGATCTCAAGGTTCATGGGTTCGAGTCCTGCATCAGGCTCTGTGCTGACAGCTCAGAGCCTAAAACCTGCTTCGGATTCTATGTCTCCCTCACTCTCTGCCCTTCCCCTGCTTGAGCTCTGTCTCCCTCTCGCTCTCTCAAAAAAATAAACACTAAAAAAAATTTTTTTAAAGAGATGAAGGAGAAGGGATCTTACCTACAAGCTGTCGAGATTCATAAGCTACAGTAAATAAAACAGTGTGACATGACTCAATACAGAGATCGATACAAAAAGTAGCACAGAATAGGAATCCCATTAATAGTTCAAACATTCATCAAATGGGTGTAAAATAGAAGCAGCATTGAAAAGCAGGGGAGAAAGGAAAAATTGTTAAATGAATATATTAAGACAATGGATGTTTTATACAGAAAAAAGTAAAATTAGAAGCTTTCTTTAGGCCATGTGCAAAATAAATTCCAAACGAATTAAAAGTCGGGTTGTGAAAAATACAACCACTTTAAAATTTTTTTAAAAAGCCAAATTCTTAGACAAGACAGAAAAACCAAACACTCCAAAAGTCAAAGAATGGTAAATGTGATTATATCACATTTAGAGACTTCTGCAGAGCAAAGGATGACACAAAGATAAAAGATAAGCAATATACTGAGACAGCATATTTGCAACACATGGCAGAGCCCTATAATTAATAAAAAAAAATATGTAAAAGACCAATAACCAAAGAAAAACAACAAGAAACTTCCAGAAAAAGAAACCTGGCTGTCTGGTAAACATATATTCCATATTTTCACTAATAATCGGGAACATGTAGCCTAAAAACTTGGAGATAATATTTTACAACTCTGATAGGCAAAAATAATAATAATAATAATAATAATAATAATGAGAAGTCTGACGATATTGAATATCACTAAATCTCTAGAGGGACAGATATATCCAGACCTCACTAATTGGGAACAATCTGACAATATCCAATAAAAGGAGAATCGTGCATCCTCATTAACAGTGACCCCTATTCCAGATTGTCTCCCAAAAGAACGGGGTTCTAGAAGATGGAAAGGCCCGTTGCAGCATTGGCTACCATGCAAAAAGTTACAAACAACCTAAATCTGTCAGTACCAGAATGTATAACTACATTATGATACAATGTTTCATCAGAATGGAGTGGGCAGCTGAAACAAATGTATGTGATCAGAATGGGGAGCTCATGTAACCCGTTGAGTATGTTGTGGTGACATTCAGGTCACTGTTGAACACCTAGAAAGCAACACAGGAAGGAAGCACAGAGGTGCTGTTTCTTCCCGGAGAAGAGAAAAAAACAGGGCAGAGGAGGGGAGCCTAAAGGGCATTAACTCCATTTGTGACATTCTGTTTCTTTGATGGATGTGTTGATTTCTCTATCTCCTTTCAAATGCATGTATCTAAAACAACAAGCTAAGTTTTTAAATGTGTTAATTCAAGGTGTTGGGTCCATATGTTCATTACATGGATCTCAGTTTTAAAAATAGTTGTAGAATCTTCTAAAGTTACTTTTCCCAAAACTCTCCAGCTACTCTGTGTGGAAAATAGTGGATCATGCAAGCCTTGACCTCACTGGAATCAACAGACAGAGACGCCTACCATGTCCCTAAAAGTCCTCACACACAGCTCTCCCATACACCCTGGGGTGCCACCCTGGTCATCTGCCCTCGGTTACTAGATATCACTCCATAATCCTCCAGATCTGTTTCACCAGCTTGTAAAGGAAACTATTTCTTGGACCATTCAACAGGCTATCATGCTATTTTTTTTTTTTTTTTGGTGCATAGAAATGTATTTATTTGGTATTAAGAATATATATGATCATTATGAAAAATTTCAATCCAAAAAACTAAAAGATGCCTCATTATCCTATTTCCTAGAATGAGTAAAAGGAAACAATTAATGATTTGCTGTATTTACTTCCAGTCAATTTTTGGAGAGGCAAGCAAACATATTGCAAAATATAACAACCTAACTATAACTCTATAACTGTCACTTTGTCACTTCTTTGACCATGTCAGTCTGAGAAAGTTATGTCTTTCATGTAAACAGCTTGGATATCATTGGAAACATTCAAGCATAATTGCTTTAGCCAGATTCCGACTGAAAATCATTTCTTTCTGGTTTCCACTGGGGTCAGCGGTGCTGAAGAGAACCCCCAGTAAATATTTGGGGGAGCTTTTCTTTTATCCTGTTATTTCATCAGGATACGTTCCTGAAGGTAGAATTTCCAGATAAAAGGTTGGGAACAGCTTACACTCTGCTACATGTTGTCAAATTGCCTTCTGAGACAATTAATTCAATCAGTGTTTCAAATATCCAACAGCAAGTGTTCCCCCCATGGCAGATACATGCTTTAAGTGCAGTAATAGACTGAGTTCTCTCAATAGCCCTATGAGGTCGGTACAATCATTATCCCCAATTTACAGATGAGAAAACTGAGCAGAGAGGATCGGCAACCTGCCCACACTCCTGGGGCGGGTAAATAGCAGAAGAGGATTAACATTCAGTGGGTGTAGAACTAGATAAACACTCCAAACGGCTACTTTCTCTACTAATAGTATCTGAAAACACTACTAATGGGTTGTGATGCCTTGGCCAGTGAATTAAAACCTCATCCTTAAAGTGCAGAAAATGGTGAGACCTATTTCATAAAACTGCATAAGGATGAAACGAGCTTATGTAAAATGTTTAAGGGAGTATGCAGCATGCCGAGTGTACTCAAAATGTTAAATTTTAAATATTTGTTTTATTATTTGCCACCTTGAGCATTTTCAAGATTTATTGTTTGTTTGGAATTCTTTACCAAGCTGTCTGTTTGTGTAATATGCACATTTTTTTCCATTGGATTTCTTAAATTTAACTTCCTTCCCACACCCTACCCCAGGACACACTGGTTTGTATATCTATATAAGGTCAAAAGCAGAAACAGGTCAGAATATCTGCCACCTTCTGCCACTTTACAGAGAACACTTTGCATTTTCTGCCCTACACACACTTAGTTCTTGATTATTGGTTTTAGCCACCCCTCACTGCCATTGCTGCTTGTTACACGTGTCCATTTCCATGTGTAAACTGATAGATGCCGAGGCCCTCTGATTGACAGGCTAGTTCCCAGAAAGCCAACGTTTTCACTCGCTCCCGGGCTGGGTGCAAGCTTCAGACAGACACCTGCCCATGGGAATAACACTGCCCACGTCCAGGATACGGGCTATTGCTTCCCCAGGCAGAAGATTCGATCTAAAGATACACTGCTTGCCTTTGAGTTTTGACCCAGTGCAAGTTCTGAAAAACAGCATCTTGATGTAGAGGGAGGATGTTTTGTTGCCTTTTTAAGAAATAATAGTTAATTCCAAAGGGGATTTTGCAAACTCACGTGGCTGTTTCGTGGCTGTTTCAACTCTGTCTCTGTCTACACATATCATTCTAAACATCATTCTATGCCTCTATCTCTATCTCTCTTGGTTTTTTTTTTTTTTCTCCCTGTCTGCTTCTCTGGTCTTCTATTTCTCCCTCTATATCTGGTCCTACTTTTCTATTAGTCCCTGACTTTCTCCCTTCTTCCTTCTTTTGATGCACAGAGTTAAAGATGACTTTAAAACACTGGGACACCTCTGGGTGACTAAGAGCCTACTCCACTCCATAACAAAACAGATTCACCACTAACTAGAGAAACATCTACATACCTACATTTTCTCATTTTATGTAATTCTTTCGGTTTGACTTAATTAAATCGAGCTTCATTTTCATACAATCTTAGAAGATATGCTGTATTATCCCCCATTTTATTGGTTCAGAAACTGAGAGAGGGTCTAAGTTCACTGTAGTTTGTCAGCAACGGAGCCATGATTTAAAGCCAGATTGGTCTAGCTCCCAAACCCAAAGCTCTTTCCACCATGTGACCCTTTCCTGTCCTCTGGCCCAGAAGCATTTATAAGTTGCAGCTGGAATGAAAGAGACAAAATCATTCTTGATGTCTCATGTCTCAAACTGAGAAAAGCTGTCTATTTAAAGGGACTCCTCTGTGCTCTCGGGACTGAGCCCCAGTGGGCTGATGCTCCCCCAGTGTCCCACTCACTGAGGCACCCCAGCCATGGAAGAGTCACATCCACCCCGTTTCTGCATTCCTCACTCACCTAGGAGAAGGAGGAGGGCTCTCAGCATGTTGGCCCCATTGCCCATCCTGGCTCTCTGCTCCTGGCTTCTCTCCGAGCAAGCACTGTGGCTCTGTGACCCAAAGCTCTGAGGGACAGGAGCCAAGTTCCACGTGACAGACAAGGAGGAAGCTGCTGCCACGGTGGTGGGGAGGCTACTCAGTTCCTCTCAGCTCTGTTGAAGGGCAGGGCTGAGGGAAATGCCTGTTGAGCTTGCCCTGTCGGTCGGTGGAAGGGGGCAAGCCCATGGTGAGGGCTCACTGAGGCATGCTGGGATGCTAGCTATCACCCAGCACAGTCTCCCATGACCCACTCCCCACCACACACACACAGCATGGGAACAGAAGTGCACCTGCGTGCATCTTCTTGCCAAAGACCCAGGATGATAAGTCTCAGAGGGGGATGTGGGCAAAGTTGGTCAGTGTGGACATCCAGGTCCTGCAGCACCCCCCACGGCTTTGGGTCAGGGCCAGGAAGCCCCCCACCAGCCCACAGTGCACTCCAGTCACTGTTTTGTTGACGTAGACACCTCTGAGTCTGGGGAGTTCTATGACTTTCTTCTCCAAATCACATTTTTGATATCCAAAATAAAGTAGCTAGGATCATAAAAGAAACCAGCTATACTGAAATACAGTTATCTAAATATTTATTTTTTTTTTATTTTTTTAATGTTTTATTTATTTCTAGGAGAGAGAGAGAGACAGCATGAGCAGGGGAGGGTCAGAGAGAGAGGGAGATACAGAATCTGAAACAGGCTCCAGGCTCTGAGCTGGCTGTCAGCACAGAGCCCGACGTGGGGCTCGAACCCACGAACTGCGAGATCATGACCCAAGCGAAAGTCGGATGCTTAACCGACTAAGCCACCCAGGCACCCCATTTATCCAAATATTTAGAAAGCAGGCTTATGACGTAGAAATGTATGTGCTTCATTACCTGCACAGCCATGAGCAAGATCTAACGCTGGTGCAGTAACTACCACCATCCTGACCTCATGACAAAGGTAAACGATATTTAGAGATATCTGCACCAGATAAAATGTGGATGAAAATATCTGCAGTTCCTACTAGCAATGAAGCTCACGCAGGTGGTAATAGCACTGCTGTTTCTTGGCTACCCTTATGTTGAAAAGAACTGTTAAGTTTCCATCAGAGGCTAGAGGCCTGAGAAGTGATGTTTTTCCCAGCCACATTCACAGAGCCCATGGTAAGCACCTTACACTGGAAGGACCCTTGGTTGCCAACGCAAGCTCAACCAACAGATTTTGGGGCCACGTGTTTCCATACTTCTCCTTGACACCTGCTTGACTGTCAAGTCTTCAGTTCAAATGGCAAGAAATCTCACTTTTCAAAATGCAAAGCCACTTAATGACAGTTGTTGTGTCCCATCCAACTGAGTGGACAGCAGTTAACTTCTTGGCCATTCTCAAGCTCCCTCTGCCAAAATCCCTGAAACAGCTAACTCACTTTTGTCCTTCTGAGTCTCAGGTCAGTGATGGACATGAGCAGAGTAGTCTGTTCACCAGAAAAAGCAGTTTGCTTCGCTTTGGTGCCTTAAGGTTCCATCCGTCTATCCAAACACACTTTATTTCACACCAAAGAGTTCAGGGCAGTCTTCACCTACACCAGGAAACATACTCTCCCTGTCTTCTCTTGAAACATGTGAACTTCTTTTTATTATTATTTTTTAAGTAGGCTTTACGCCCAGCGCAGAGCCCAACGTGGGGCTTGAACTCATGATCCCTAGATCAAGACCTGAGCTGAGATCAAGAGTCCCACGCTTAACTGACTGAGCCACCCAGGCAGCCCATGAAACATGTGAACTTTTAAAGCTTTCATCCTGTTTAGTGGAGATGTTGGAAGAAGAAATATTTCACTTCCTAAGCAAACAATAAGAACATGCCAGAGCAGACACTGTAAGTCATAGGCAGGGGCTGGGGAGCTTGCAGGAAATGCATCAGGGAGCTGCAAGCAGGCCCAGGGCTTGCCGGCACACAAAGAGGTCCTCTGTTTTGTGAAATCATATTTGTAAGTGCTGGTACCAGTTTAAACAAAATTTTTTTTCATGGGGGTAGGTCAAACCAGACATCGGTATGTAACTTCACCTCCAAAATACTTCTTGAGAATGCTTCTAGGACTCAGTCTTTCATATATAAACCCAAGACAGGAAGTTCCTGTGGTAACTTCTGCTTTTTACCATGCCACAAACTCCTGAGCCAGAAAAGTCAGCATCTGCTACATACTTGCATGGAGAAGAGGGAAATACAGATGCTCCACTGTCCCATAAGCTAGACTCTGTAAAGATGACCTAGCCAGTGCACCTGGGTGTGATGGGGGGGTGTCTCAGTGTGGTGTGAGGTCCCTCCCACAGTGGGTGCCCCACCCCATGCTAGTTCTTAACAAATGCCTGGTTCTTAACCTGAGTCTGCTCCTGTCACAGAGGTTGGGATGACCCCCACCGGACCAGGAACCTGTGAAGGCAGGGGCCAGAACACCTAGTTCAGTGACTGACACAGCACAAGATCTCAATGATGTTCACTGAATAAAGGATTAGTTTACTTGCTTAGCTCCCACCCAGGCTGAGCCAGCCCAGCCTAGAAAGGTTGTGGACCTTGCCTGTGATGGGGGGAGGGGAAGTAATCTGCTCTGCCAATCCCTAGAGAAGGAGCCCTCAGCTCTGATATTCCTCAGGGTGCTGCCCTTCCTCCAGCATGGTCACCATCAGACCTCGGGAACCCCTATCCTCCCCTGGCACCTCAACCACAGAGCACACAATTCACAGCCCAGGTGCCTGGAATCCAACACGGGAAAAACCATCAGATCCACCATCATTACAAGAGATTTTTAAAAATTAAAGACAGGGAAGACTCGAAACTCTTCACCTGACAATTGGAAAAGTTATTCTTCTCAAGTTCTCAAGCATGCATGCAATATTTACCAACAAAACAAAACAGAAAACAACTACATCTGGGCCATGAGGTAATTCTCAAAAAATTCAAAGAATGGCTGACATACAGATCACATTTTTTACACAGTGCAATTGAATCAGATGACTGTAACAAAAAATACCTGCAGTGTCCATATGTTTGGAAACTTAAAAACATATTTCTAGGTAACTCAGAAGTCATATAAAAAATTACAGTGAAAGTTAAAAATAGCTAGAGCCTAACAATAATGAAAATGTTTCATATCCGATTTTGTACTAAAGTAATAATTAGAAAGAAAGGATGTAAATGCTTAGAAAAGAGGGCTGAGAAAGGGATGAGCTAAGCAAGCACGTGGAGAAGTTTGGAAAGAATAAGCCTAAGAAAAGGCAAGAGAAAGGTAATAATAAATATGAAAGCAGATCTGAATAAACCAGAAAGCAAATATTCAATAGGGAGGATCAGTGAGTCCTAAAGTTTGCCTTTATTTTTTTTTAATGTTTCATTTATTTTTGACAGAGAGAGAGAGAGCATGAGCAGGGGAGGATCAGAGAGAGAAGAAGGGTCACAGAATCTGAGGACAGGCTCCAGGCTCTGAGCTGACTGTCAGCACAGTGCCCAACGCAGGGCCCGTACCCACCAACGTGAGATCATGACCTGAGTGAAGTCGGACACTTAACCGACTGAGCCATTCAGGCGCCCCTAAAGTTTGCCTTTAAAAAGCTAATAATATGACAAACTCTCACAGAGTAGAAAAAAAGAAAATAGAATAAGCAGAAAACATATTTTTAAAAAATTACACCACCACCAATAATATGTTTGCCTATACACAAATATATATGGAAAATAATAAATTATACATGAAAAATAATTAATACATTTAAATATAAAGTTATATATTATTTATATGTTATATATTATATTTATATATTATATGTGAATAATAAATATAATTATAGAAATACTTATATCTTATATGCTATAGAAATATATTTTTATATAATATAAACATGTAAAAAATATCATATAACATATATATTATAAATCTAAACAAAGTTACTCAAGACTTGCAAGGAGAAAAGTTAACCACATTAAAGAAGACCTAAGCAAACAAAAAGTGTGTCATCACATATAGAAAAACTAAAAATCTTAAAGATATCAATTCTTCTTAAACTAATCTCTAGTATCAGTTCAGTCCTATACTCATGCTCATTATTAATCAGAAAAATGCAACTCAAGACCACAGTGTGATAGCATTCTACACTTTTGAGATTGGTAGAAATAAGAATCTGAGTAATACATTTGAAACAACATAAATGAACCTGGAAGACACTATCCTAAGTGAAATAAGCCAGATATGAAAAGACAAATACTGCATGATTTCACCTATATGTAGAATCTAAAATAGTGGGGCACCTGGGTGGCTCAGTCAGTTAAGCATCCAACTTTTGACTTTGACTCAAGTCATGATCTCATGGTGGTGAAATTGAGCCCCAAGTTGGGCTCCATGGAGTCTGCTTAAGGTTCTTTTTCTCCCTTCCCTCTCTCCTCGCCTGCTTGTGCTCACTGGTGATCTCGAAAGAAAGAGAGAGAGAGAGAGAGAGAGAGAGAGAGAGAGAGAGGGAGGGAGGGAGGGAGGAAGGAAGGGGGAAAAAAAGGAAGAAAGGAGGAAAGGAAGGAAGAGAAAGGAAGAAAGGAAGGAAGGGAAGAGAAGACTCTCAGATAGCCAAACTCAGGCTAATTTGAACAAATCAGGACACTATATAGATGCTGGTGAGGATGTGGAGAAAAGGGCACCCTCCTACACTGTTGGTGGGAATGTAAACTGGTGCAGCCCCTCTGGAAAACAGTGTGGAGGTTCCTCAAAAAACTAACAATAGAACTCCCCATGACCCAGGAGTAGCACTGCTAGGAATTTACCCAAGGGATACAGGAGTGCTGATGCATAGGGGCACATGGACCCCAATGTTCATAGCAGACTCTCAACAATAGCCAAAACATGGAAAGAGCCTAAGTGTCCATCAACGGACGAATGGGTCAAGAAGATGTGGTTTACCTATACAATGGAATACTACATGGCAATGAGAAAGAATGAAATCTGGCCATGTGTAGCAACGTGGATGGAACTCGG